AAAAAAAAAAAAAAAGAAAAGAAAAAAGCCAGCATTATCTGCCTTTGTCAGCGAAAGAACATAATATTGACTTACCTTTCCCCACAGCTATTGTCTGCCCCTTTACAAAATGACATCACGGAAACCAATCATGAAATTTGCATGGGGGAGGTTGTGGGGGGAGAGTTCTTGGAGGGCAGCCCACTTCCCTACACCAGTAACACGCGTGTAAGACGGGTTGTTGGTTTCAATTAAATATCTGATACTCCTTAGTGTGTGAACTCTTAAGCCTGCTAAAGGCAATGTCTCATTTACTTAATGACCGCTCTCATTAATGGAAATGGCACAGAGGGGGCTTGCTGCGCCTTCCCTTTGTAAATACACTACCCATGAACCCTTGGGGTTGCAATATATCTGTTTACTCTCTGAGGTGAAATAAATTTACAGTATAGCATCAAAGAGAGCGAGAGAGAGAGATGGAGCTGCTGCCTTGAGTGCACAGAGAGTTGGGGCTCTCCCAGCCCCGCCAGCCCCTCTCTCCTCGCACTCCCCCCCTCCCCAAGACCCAGCAGAAGGTGAATGATTTTACCCGAGCTGATTCATAATTAATATGCACGAGGCTCGGGGCTCCTTTGATAGCAGCAACACAAAAGGACGGCGAGCGCGACAAGCGCCGTGCCGTGTCCCCCCCGCGCATCCCGAAGCGTGGTACGGCCCAATAATTCCTAATAGCAGCAAGCAGCGAGTGACAGATGCCCTGGGTTAGCACAGCTCCAGCGAAAGTACTTTACAATATTTATTGGTGGTTAGGAAGATGACCTATCACCATAAAGAACAGACTGGGAAATTTATCGCCTCTATGAACCTGGAAGTATTGCATATTAGCTGATATACATATTCAAAAGTGAGTGGTTAAAAGGTGTATAAATATTTTATTTTTTTTTTCCCTTACCCTTAAAAAGGAAAAAAAAAAAATAATGATGACACAACGTATTCCCAGCAGACAACACCTCACTCCGGGAAAGAGAGATCATGGCCCAGGTGATTCCATTCTGGACTTTGTGATGGGAAGAACAACATCAGGAAAAGTCCTAAAAGAAAATCATGACTAAAATAGTGTGGAGACTATTTCTGAGTGGGAAAAGTGCATGTTCCTGCATTATGCATCTTTTCCTCCCAGAAAGAGTCACACTTTTCATCATTTTTCCTTGAAAATGCTCTGTTTGGTGGAGATCTGACCACTTCTGGGAGGAAAAAGTCTTCTCCGAGCTGGAGGGAGGAAGGCTCTGGGGAGAGACCCGTGTGGCAGGAAGGGCATTAGCACATCCCATCCATGCTCCCTGACAGATCAGAGCATTAGCACTTAGATTACAACTTTTTGGAAATAGTGGGGGGAAAACACAGGCAGGCTGCAGCCCCATGGGGATGGGGACACACTTTTCTCTGCACCCTTGTGCCATCCCCAGCATCACCGAGACAATTAAGGCTTTACTGTCATCTTAATGAAGATTTCCAAAAAGATGCAGGAGCTCACAAATGTACAGAAACCCCAGGAGTCCTTAGAGAGCCCAGAGAGCAGAGGTAGAGACAGGCAGGAAAAGCTAAATCCTGCTGGGGATGCACTCCCCTGTGGAAAACTCCAGCTACAGAGCCACACAGGCCCCAGACACCTCTCCAGTTCACCCCTGCCCTGGTCAGGTCAGGTGCAGGCAGGAGCAGGAAAAGCCTCTCCAGCTGCCAAAAACTGGACACCTGCCTGGCAGCAACCCCATCTCACCCACAGACCATCACAGGGCACGTGGCAGGAGTGAATCCATTTCCCATCTCAGGCATTTTACTGGGGAGTGGGTGACGGAAATACTAATTTTTAACTGTTGAGGCCGCTTTGGAAATTCTTACGATGCCCATTTCCATGGCTTGCCAGCCCAATGTGCTCCTAAACCATTAACATAAAGGAGGTATTCAGCAGAGAGTACTCCTGAAAAGCTGTTTTCTATCTCCTTTGGACACGCCACGAAGATAGGGATATTTTACATCCTAAACCTTTGGCATTCAGAAATTCTATTAAACTCTTATCTGCAGGCAGCAGGCCTGGTGCTACACTGCATCTCCATTGTTCTGCACCCGCGATAGAATCAAAGGGAGGGCTGGGTGGACTCCGCTCCTCTGTGCTCACAATGCTGCCTGCTCCTCTCCACCGCTATTTCATTTGGAGACGTAATGCTAAAACTTGAGAAACAAAAGCACAATAGATCGGCTGGAAGGCAGGAGGGCAGTGTGTTTACTTGTGTTTGCTTCCACATAAATTGGTGCACACGCAGGCTGCACGGATATGAGCGCACACATGTGCCTCTCCAAGCGTTAAGAGATGAATTTTATTATTGCTGTTGTTGCATTTATTAACACGCGACGCACCTAGAAGCCCTAAGGCAGCTGACAGCTTTGATACCACTCTGCCGAGCTCTGGGTTGCGAGAGGGTGTTTGGTTTTTCTTTGTTCCCAAACTCGCCAGACTTCCCTCTCGTCCCTCCCAAAATCTCCCCACACGCCACAAACAAGCGGCGCTTTCCCCGGAGTTTCTCACCACCAGTAACTTCAGCAGCGGCAGGAATTCCCATCTCGCGCCCCCCAAGCCCCTCCCTACCCTCGAAGACCTCCGTCTCAGGCCAACACCCGCTCCCCCCACTCTGGAGGAGCCCGCGGGGGAACGCGAGGCCACGCGTGGGCTCCAGAGCGGCGGCGGGTCAGCACCACGGACAGCTCCGCCCGCTCCCTCCTCAGAGCGGTTTCGATCTTTTTAAGCATTTTTCAACCTTTTTTTTTTTTTTTCTTAATGTTCTCCCTCCCTCCCCCCTAGTCTCTCCAGAGTCACTTTACAGCTGTTTTCAGAGAAGAGATAATTATCGCGTGTTTCCAGGTCTGACAGAGCTGTCTCTTCCCTAAAGGGAGCCGTGCAGCAGAGAGGTATAAAATAAATGTTCACATATTTTCATCTTCAGGGTGTTGAGACACGGGCTCTGAGGGTCCCTGCCTGCGGGGCTCCTGCGGAGCTGAACCTAGAGAGGATTTTTACAAGTAGAGTCCCTTCACGCCCCTCCCCTTCACTGCTCTACATGCCTTTTTTTTTTTTTTTTTTTTAATCTTACTGTGCTCGTGTTTTCAGATCAAGCGCTTCAAGTTTGAAATTATTTAAAATAAAACTCCATTTGCCTGTGTAAACACAGACATAAACCCATCGCACTCTATTCCATTGGCTTCTTTGAGTCTGTTTCAAAGAAAATTAGATCTCAAACTTTACGCATTCGTAATTGGCACCAACTTCTCCGGTTACCAGCTGGGGGTGAAAGATTTTTATTTTTTTTTTTCCCTCCTTGTTTCTTTCTGAAAGCTTCTATGCAGATGGGCTGGCTGCCTTAATGCCTCAGACTACAATTAGTGCTGTTGTATGCCGAATAGAAATGGCCAGCATTAATATTGTATATGGAACAGCTGAAGGGTTGCAGAGAAACCTGCCCACTACAGGCCCCTGGCAGATGGAACAACATGCACAGGCACAAAAAACTTTTAATAACCCTTTGCTCGCTCTCCAGCGCGCCCCTTCTCCCCGATTTGGGCGGTTCCTTTCCCGAAAAGGCGATGCCTTTGTCTAACCCAAATCTAGAGCTCTTTTCTCCCTAAAGAACAACAATTGGAGCAATCACCATCGTTTGCAAAAGGCACCTCACGTTGTCCCAAAACTTCCTCCTTTGTGCCTCAGTTAATGCGGGCTCTGAAACACACCGGCTGAACAGGCACGAACTAACTTTTTATTTAATAACGTCCCCCCCACACCCCTTTATTATCCAACAATATGAGCTGAGGGGAGGGGGGGGGGGGCACACACAAAGCCAAATCAAACCATCACCCCCTTCCCCAGCAGAACTGTGACCAGAAGCTGCAGAAAACAGGATTTTCTCCTCACCACCCTCCCCTTCGCTCCTCGTCCTTTGTAATTAGGTGAAACCCGCGGCAGCGGGGACAAAGCCCCGCCGGTGCCTCGGAGCAGCAGCACCGGGGGCCGCGCACCCCCCGCACCCTGGAACCTTTCGCAACCAGCCCGGAGCAAAGCGAGGAGGGGCGGGGGTGAGACCCAGACCCCTCTTGCTAAACGCAAACACGGGAAAACATGCTCGGAAACCCCTTTCTGCCACTGCACTGGGGAGGAAAATATAAAGCAAGGAGGGATGGGGTAATTTGTGAGTCCGCGATCCTCCCCCCTCACGGCAACCAAGCCCCTTTGCCAAGGCGTGACTTAGGCAGAATTAAGCAGCTCGAGTGTTTCAGAGGACAAACGGGGGAGACATAGTAAGGAACAGACTCCCTACGCTCACACCCCACCCCTCCCATCCGCCGGCGAACGGCTACGAACCGAGGAAGGTCCCGCAGAGCTTCATCCTTGCCGGGTGGCGGTGGCTGCCTGGCCCGGGGCGGCTGGGGGAGCGGGCGCGGAGCCGCCCGAGGTTACTCCATCATCCCTGGGAAAAGTTCCCATCCGGAGCAAAAACTTATGGGCGGTGGCGGCCAATGGGGCCGCGCCGCAAAATCCCCGCAGCGCACTCGCGGCCAATCCGGTCCCCCCCGCCCCGGGGATGCGCACCCCCCTTCACTGCCCCCCTTCCCAGCCCGGAGAGGGGGGCAGCTGGGGAAGGGGACCCGTCCTCGCCAGCGGGCGGGGGCTCAGCACCTCCCTCCTGCCTGTAATGAGGGGAGAGATGAAGTGATGACGTGCACATCCCAGTGGAAGGGTGTGTGTGGGGGGGCGAAGCATCCCCAGGGAGTCCAGTCATGGAATGTTTTGGGTTGGAAGCGACCTTAAAGACCATCTAATTCCAACCCTTTGCCGTGGGCAGGGGTATTTGTTCCACTAGACCAGGTTGCTCCAAGATCCATCCAACCTGGCCTTGAACACTTCCAGGGATGGGGCAGCCACAGCTTCTCTGGGCAACCTGTGCCTCATGACCCTCACAGGGGAGATTTTTTTCCTAATATTTAGTCTAAATCTCACCTCCATTAGTTTAAAAGCATCCCCCCTTGTCCTATCCCTATCTGCCCATGTAAATCCACCTGCATTATGAGAGGGAGACCGCAAAAGACACACTGTTTGTGGAGTGATAATTCCCCCCCAGCTCACCCTGTGGGCAGGGACACATGGCACAGTCCTGCAGGCAGTCCCCAGGCTGGCAGGGGCTCTGAGCAGTCAGCAGGGCAATCACTGTGCTTGCCCAAGTTGGTTTAGAAATCCATGAGTCTACTGGTGGCCACGTACAGCTTGTTGGATGCTTTAGTCAAGTCCAAGGTGCACTGGGGAAGGGAAAGGGCGAATTGGTTCTGGGAGAGATCCAGAATGGAAGAGGATGTCCCCCTGCCTCAAAGGACAGATGGCAACATTGGACTGAACGGATCCCAGCTGGAGAAAACTGGATACAGGCCAGCAAACAGTACTCTCATTGGCCTCCCAGATGGAAAAGCAAGGAAATAGTTACCAGGAAATAATAATAATAATAATAATAATAATAATAATAATAATAATAATAATAATAATAATAATAATAATAACAACAATGCCACTAGCCAGGGATAGTACTGAACTTTGTCACCCCATTGTCTCAGAAGACAAAGTACCATCTCTAGGTTGTGTGACTCCCTACTCTCTGCTCATCAGCCCAAACTAAAAGAAGACCAGCTCTTTCCGTGGGGCAGCCCTGGCCTGCAGAGAAGGAAAAGTGCCATTTCTGAAAATGGGAGAGAGGAGAGTTTGCCTGGCGAAAATGGATTGTCAGTGTAAAAACTCATCATCCTCACACAGGTGGGCAAATAAGTGTGTTTGCAGAAAGAGAGCAAGACTGGCCCAGTATCAGCTTCCTCAGTTTGGAAAAGGGGAAAAACTTGTGCTTGGAGGGACAGATGGCACCCGTAATAAGAAGAATGGGACAAACTGATATTAACTGAGGGAGAATTGAAACCAATTTACCTACCTCAGCAGGGTCTGCCCGAATATTTGAGTATTTTTTATTTTATAAACATGTAGAGGAAGCAGCTGGAATACAGGTTGGAAAAGCATGCAGAAAAAAAGAGGGCAATTCACGCTCTGGGGCAAGGTCCTGGGCCAAAGTCTTTGTTAAATACATCCAACTCCTTAATCCAAATTTCTTTGTAGGCAGAGAGCTGGAAGAGAGGGAGCTGAGGAACAGCTTTGCTGGGTTGGGAGAGGGTGTCTGAATATCAAAGTGCACCTTTTCTTCCCCACAAGCATCATGATCTTCTGCTGGTCTCAGGGAGGTCTAAGAAAACAACCATAGCAATAATCATTGTCATTGGATTGAAGTGACAGGCAGGAGTTTGAGTCAAATTAAAAATCTAACTGCTATAGGTGGGATTTTTTTTGAGATCCTTGCTCTTAGAAGGACTGGGCTAAGCCCTGCTTGGCTCAGCTGGTTCCTACATCCAGGCTGGATATGGCTCAGGAAAGGAGCTGTAGCTGGGCCCCCTCAGAGGCTGCATTTGACTGCATAGCTCTCCCAGCAGAAAGGGGTGTGAGAGAGCCTGTTTGGGGACTGGTACCTCTTTCCTCTTTGAATTAACAGTTCTGCCTTTCCAGAATATTCCGTGCTTTATTGTCCCTTCAATCCCCACCTTGGAAGATGAGAGGTGACATTGCGGAGGGCTCCGCGCTTGGAAAATGACTTTCAGAATTACGTTCTGGCAATTTGAAACTTCCGCTCTCTCATCTTCAGCCTCTTGGGGCTTTAATGGGAGACAGCAAAGTGCCTCTTCCTCCTCCCCTCTTTTCTTTTCCTCCCCTGTTCTCCGGCAGCTGCAGCGGCCGGGATTCAGCAAGGTCACTCAACTCCGTTGCTTCCTGCATGCAGGAGATCTCAAATTAAGGGGTGTTGGGAGCAGCCTGTTGAGATGAAACAGCCTTCACTCAGCTCCAGCAAGCAAGGAAACAAAACCCCTTCGCAGTGGATCCAGACTGGCTCACCTTCCCTGAGCATTAGCCGGGGGAAAAGGTAAAGGCATGCAGGAGCAAAAAGCAGAGTAAAAAGAGTCCCTCCTTGAGCAGGAAGCTGCTGTCTTTTGTCTAGCAAAGGGAGCCCCAAAATTTTATTGATGGCCTTGTGGCTGCAGCCACCTCATCTACTCCTTCTTGGTGTTTTCATGAGCATCTCACCTGTATCTCGTTTTTCCCAAAATTTCTGCTGCTGCCTCCCCTTTGCTCTGTTCACCAGCGAGGCAGAGTTGGCCCAGATTCCCTCCATCTCTGGGTCTTGGAGCAGAGTGCAGAGATGGGACCTCATCCCTCTGGGCTCTGAGCTTGCCAGCAGTGTGATCCTCTTCCCAGGTGCCACTGGCCTTAGTCCTGTGCAAGCATTAAAGGGCACAGAAGAGAACACAAATGGGAACGGAGGAGAATCACAGAAACTCCACTGATACCTGGATGTTCCCTGCCAAGGGGCCTGGGAAGCCATGTGGCTCACACGGGGAAAGACCAAAGGAAGTACCATCCCTTTGTAGTCTGATTTCTGGTGATGTACTGCCAGACTGGGGGGGGGAAGGGGGGGAGGGGAGTTTATTGTTCCGCGTGTACAGTTTTGCACCAGAAAAAAATTAAAATCACCAACAGGTTTCTCCACACACCCCACCACTGTCTTACCAACAGCCTGTGCCTCACTTTCCTTTTCTTAAACAGCTCCCCCCAGTCCCTGGCAGCCCTGGCTTTTCCAAAAAGAAGAGGATAGTTCCAATTATCTGTTGACTGTTTTCTTCTGCCTTAAATCCCTCTTACGGCTGCGTGAGGGAAAGCCGGAGAAGCCGTATGCAGATATTGTCAAGCTCAACTTGATAGGTACTGTCAAAACTGCCAGAGTGTGGTGACAATAAACATTTTAGCTGGCTAACAATTTGCTGCAAAAAGGGTTGACCCTGAAATCAAGTTCTGCTGTAATGAACACTTTGTCTCCAAATATTTGCATTTTTGCTGACAAGGTTCACTCTCCAGGAGATTTCCTCCGCCCGTGAGCAATCTGCCTTCAGATGAGATGGAGGCTGGATGCCGTTTCCCGAGCCAGTTCCTTATCTGGCGTGCAGGAAGGATGAACACGTGCCCAAAACCAGCAGAGCCATCGTGGATGGGGGATGCCCAACCAGGGGAGCTGCTCAGCTCCAGGGTGCTGGTCCCCCTCACTGAGAAAGCCCTTTTCTGCCTGGTCCTACGTGGCAGTGCAGTGCTGACAGCCCAAAGAAGAAGCCAGTGGTTATCCTCGTTTAACAGATGGGGAAACTAAGGCACGTGGGGATTCCAGATCATATTTGGACTGTCTGTGCTGAGCAGGAGAGGGAGCAGCCAAAAAAGTGGCAGCCAGTGTAGACTGTCTGTTATCCACAGCTGCCTCAAAACAGTGGAAAGGGAGGAGGAGGAGGCTGAAGCTGTACTGCCACTCTCAGTAGCTAGGTTTGGTGTTGCACTTCTGCTTCTCCAAGCACATGGAAAGTTGAGTCTGTCCACCTCCAGGAGCTGCTGTGCTGAATCTTCTTCCATCTCATTCAAAGTGGCCAGTGATTTGACCAAGGTTACATGGCAGAGCTGAGAGCCAAGTACCACCTTCCTTAACCTCGAGTCCAAAAACCCAGCTGTCTCCGCTGTCTAAGAGAAGATGCTCAAAGTGCCCTTGCTGCAAAAGCAGCTGCAAACACCCTGTGTTTGAGGATGGAATTAATCCTTAATAGTGGGGAGGAAAAAATCCCCCAGTGGGCAGGTTTTCACACAGAGGTAGATCTGGATTTCATTTCTACTCCCAGCACTGATTTTTTGAGGGTGACTGTGGGAAAGGGTGTCCATCCAAATCCCCTCAGACACCTGGCTTCTCTATTCTAAATAAAAGGTGCTCTTACTGTGTCTATTAGCTGTGCTCACCAGGCCAGGGCTGTGATTTGCTTGAGATCCTTAAATTCCTAGACAAAGTACTCAATAAATTCTAATAAAACTTCTCACTGCTGCAGGAAACTGGGGAGGGGAGGGGGGAGAACAGACAGAAAGAATCCTTACAGGTTCACGAAAAGGACATAAAGGGAAGGAAAGCACAGCTTATTTCATTTTTATCTTCCTTTCCCCTCCCTGCTGTAATGAAAGGCAATTTCCACCAG